GTTTATTTTATGATAAAGTAGCTGACTGTTTTATATTTTCTTTTGTAAACTTGTGATAATTCACTGAGCAGTGACTGTCTGAAGACTAGATGAGAAAAGAAAATGCTCTTAATCTTGTAGGAAATACTCAAGCCATGTAGCCACATTGGAAGCACATTTTTTTTTTGAAAATCTTGGTCCATTTTTGTCTTCACTGTTTACATGTGTGTTCTTGGCCATGCACATTATTTTGTTCCCACCTTGGTTTTTTTTGGTCCCACCTTGGCAGACACAACTATTTTGATTTTCATCTTTGGAGTACGTATTTTAAATGAAGGCACATTTGGAAAAGTTTTTCTTTTCTTTTTTTCAGCTTTTCCCTCTTCAGGGGTCTCCACAGTGAGTCATCCTCATCCATCTCACTCTGTCCTCTGCATCCTCTGTCCTCACTCCAACTACCTCCATGTCCTCTCTAACTGCATCCATATATCTCCTCTTTGTCTTTTTCCTGGCAGCTGCATTTCCAACATCCTTCTACCAGCATACCCACTGCCCCTCCTCTGGACATGTCCAAACCATCTCAGTCTAACCTCTCCAACGTTATCTCTCAGTTGTTCAACATGTGCTGTACGTCTGATGATCTCATTCCTAATCTTATCCATCCTTGTCACTCCTAAGAAGAACCTCAACATCTTCATTTCGGCCACTTCCAGTTCTTTCGCCTGTTGTTTTGTCCATGTCTCTGTCTCCAGACCATAAAACATAGCTGGTCTCACCACTGTCTTGTAAACCTTTCTTTTGGCCTTTGCTGACACCCTTTTTTTGTTACAAATCACTCCTGAAACATTTCTCCATCCTGCCTGGACTCTCTTTTTCTTCTCTTTACCACACTCCCCATTTTCCTGAACAGTGGACCCCAAGTACTTGAAGTCCTGCACCTTTGTGACCTCTGCTCCTTGTAGCCTCACTGTTCCACCTCCTCCCTCTCATTCATACACATGTACTCTGTCTTACTACGGCTGACTTTCATTCCTCTTCTTTCAAGTGCATACCTCCACCTCTCCAAGTTCTCTTCCACCTGATCCCTGTTCTCACCACAGATCACAATGTCATCTGCAAACATCATAGTCCATGGGGATTCCAGCCTGACCTCATCTGTTAGTTGGTCCATCACCAGAGCAAACAAGAAGGGGCTCATAGCCGATCCTTGATGCACTTCCACCATGAAGCTGTCTGTCACTCCTACAGAACATCTCACCACTGTCCTGCTGTTCTCACATGTCCTGTACCAGTCTAACATACTCCTCTGCTACTCCAGATTTCCTCATGCAATAACACACTTCCTCCCTTGGCACTCTGTCATATGCTCATTCTAAATCCACTTAGACTCAATGGAGCTGACCCTCTCTGTACTTCTCCATCAGCATCCTAAAAGCAAAGATGGCATCTGTGGTGATCTTTCTTTGCATGAAACCATATTGCTGCTCACAAATGGTCATCTCTCATCTAAGTCTTGCTTCCACAGCTCTCTCTCAGATCTTCATTGTGTGAATCATCAACTTAATTCCCCTGTAGTTGCTACAACTCTGTCCATCACCCTTGTTCTTAAAAATGGGCACCAGCACACTTCTTCTCCATTCCTCAGGCATTTTCACATTCTCAAATATCCCATTGAATATTTAAGTAAAAAAAAAAAACATCACTGCCATCTCTCCAAGATATCGCCAAACCTCCAAAATGGTACAGTATGTCATCAGGTCCTACTGCCTTCCTCTTCTTCATTCTTTTCAGAGCTGATTTGGACCAGTTTTTTTAAATAATTATAATTTTCATCAACATTTTCTTTAGATGTTGACATTTTATTTGTCAGACTAGAGCTTGAATGTGCCTACTTTTTTCCCCAGTCGTTTTATAAAAGTCTTGTGCTAACTGTTGAAGAGGGGTTGATCTAAGGGCTTAAACTCTCACATGAATGGAGTACAGAGACTAAATAAAATGTATCCTTGCCCGTGGCTACAGCTCCAAATAATTGCTTACTATTGTGCAGTTTATCTAAGCTGAACATCTCTATTTTCTCTCTCTACTGTCATTACCAGTTAAGCGCTCTCTCTCATAACATTCTTCTGCTTGGTGATTTTAAATATGGAAATTTGCCATTGTGTAAAATATACTAATTTTAGAATCCCTGACAGAATCACTCAAATGTGTATGCGGTTAAAATGAGAGTATCAGCTATGTCGTATCTACATTAGTTTAAGTAATTGAATTACTTTTAGATATGTGATATATTTCAGGAAGCTTTGTAATTTAGGGACACAATGTTTACAAACATTTATCTGACTTTTGGTGTTTTGCAACATATATATATTTTTTTATTTTTACTGGAGAACAAAATGTTTAACTAATTGTTGCTCACCTCCATAATGTTTCAAAGTTCTCAGTAATTTTTATTTATTATTTTTGGTTGTTAATGAGTTTCTTCATGCTCTGGTGGTGGTGTTTTGACAAACTCCTCAGTAAACCAGTTTACTGTAGGCAGGCAGATTCTCCAAAAACAATGCAAACAAGCAGGAAGTACTATTCAAGTAAAGAGCTGATATTCTTGGGCTTGTCTTATTTCATTTCATGAAATGAGGCTGTTTTATATTTGGTATGAACAGATTTTTGGGAAAATCGGATCACAGGTGCTAAGTAATGCAAAGTACATGTATAAACACTGAACCGAGGAAACGACCAGATCTGTTAGTTCTGGCAATTTACAGTTGACACTTGCAACTACATCCCCAACGACATGACTAGAAATGTAATCTGAACCATGTTGTCATTTGTTTCCTAATGTGGGCAGCAGCTTGAATGATTCATTGTCCATCTGGTTACTAAAAAAAATAAAAAAATAAACTAAAGCACTGAATGTAAGATTTACAGAAAACCTTAATACATAAGCCCACTGAATATTTTTAAGGAGAGATTTATCAGTTGGACATGCTAAACAGTCCAGTTTAACAGTTAAAAAATACTGTGAAACTATATCATGTGTATTTTTGTACAACTGTACTCAAACCTCAATGATTAACCAGAGTCTTAACTGGAGTTAGTTGGAGATCAAATCTCTCCAGTTTTAGCTTCTCTCCAATGGCTCCCTGTCAAGTCCAGAATAGAATTCAAAATCTTACTTCTGAACTACAAAGCCCTCAACAACCTAGCTCCATCTTATATTACAGATCTTATTGTTCCATATTTTCCTAACAGAGCACTTTGCTCTCAGACTGCAGGCTTACTCGTGGTACAGTTTCCAAAAGCAGAATGGGAGGAAGATCTTTCAGTTCTCAGGCTCCTCTCTTGTGGAACCAACTTCCAGTTTCTGTCCGTGAGGCTGACACATTGTCCAGTTTTAGGGTTGGCTTCTTATGCTGCCATAGGCTTACACTACTGCAGAACAAATTGACCACCCATCCATCCATCCATCTTCTTCCGCTTATCCGGGGTCGGGTCGCGGGGGTAGCAGCCTAAGTAGGGAGGCCCAGACTTCCCTCTCCCCAGCCACTTGGTCCAGCTCCTCCGGGGGAATCCCGAGGCGTTCCCAGGCCAGCCGAGAAACATAGTCCCTCCAGCGTGTCCTGGGTCTTCCTCTGGATCTCCTCCCGGTGGGACGTGTCCGGAACACCTCACCAGGGAGGCATCCAGGAGGCATCCAAAACAGATGCCCAAGCCACCTCAACTGGCTCCTCTCGACTCAAACTGATCACATTTCCTTAAATGATTTGTTAAAATTGAATAGTTTTCATTTTATATTATTTATATCTCAACATGTGATTCTCGACCTGCCATTGTATATCTGTTCTTAACAAACCCAGCTGGTCGAAGCAGATGGAGCTTGTACTGAGCCTGGTTCTACTAAAGGTTTCTTCCTCATGAAGGAGTTTTTCCTTTCCATTGTCGCCTTCATGTTTGCTCAAGATGAGAGTTCTGTGATGGAGTTAGACTCAAAGCAGTCTGCTCCTAATAAATATTGCTATTATTTTTCTATATGAATGTTTCTGTTCAGTACACTGAGATGACCTGTTGTGACATGGTGCTTTATAAATCATGGCAGCATGGTGGCTCAGTGGTTAGCAATGTTGCCTCACAGCAAATATGTCCTGGGTTCAATCCCCAGTTGGACCTGGCATCTTTCTGTGTGGAGTTCTGTGATCTCAATAGGATTTGCCTGGTTAAATAAAGGTTAATAAATAATAAACATAATTGAATTGAATTAATATGAGGACAACTTCTCAGTAATGTGGAAAACATAAGTAGCGATTGTTTGCCAATAAATCAAAAAGATGTGAAAAAATGTGAAGGCCTAAATGAATAACTTGCCACAGTATTAATCCATTAAAAAGCAAAAATGACAGTTTGCAAATGTGTGTTCATGGGTTTGAGCTAGTAATTATGCAGTTAAAGTTTAATTTATGCTAACCAGACAGGGAGAGCACTTTTTAATATCTGAAGTCCAACATATTCTAATTTTAATTAAATTATCTTCTTTTTATATAACATTAATGGGGGGTTTCAACACAGTAAAGCCATTTTACATAATTGAACAGCTCTACTTTAAATAACAATACCTGTAAAACAATCTATTAGAAATTAATCACTAAGAGCTGGGTCTCTGCTTTACACTGACAATCTGTTTCTCACTTTTTAATCTGTTTTATATCTGGTAATACCAGTAAGTTTAATTAATAGAGCTGCTTAAATTAAAACCCATTTTCAAAACTAGCCTTGAGTGGTGATTGTCAGGGTATGGAATATTATTTTTTTAATGTTCAGATTATTAGTTTAAACATTATTAATATTTTTTGCCAAACTAAAACTTGATATCCCTCTTGAAAATAACTGTCTTCTTAAAAACTGGTATTTAAGTTTTTACAGTAACTTGCAAACTATTTTAAAGCACAGCCCACCCTTATATTACCACAAGAGATGCACTACCACAAGGAATCTTGTACAAAATACACAACTACAAACTGAATTCCATACATTTAATTTCACTTGATTCATTGCACATCAGTTCAAGTGCTGAGTCATTCTTCATGTAAAGCTTTAGAAAATACAATCTGAGTCATCTCTGATGTGATTGTGGGTGTGTTCATGTAGATTATTTAAAAAATAAATAACACATTTGATGACAAACTACATTTTGAAGTAGTCTTCCTTGATAGATCTGTAAAATAAACACCAATAAACCGGGCAGCATAACAACTGGTCAACGTTAAAGATTTATATAATTCATTCATAATTAGGTAGTTTAACTTTTTCCCCACATAGTACATGTACTTTCCCTTTGTCTGCGTAACACCACTGAGTATATTTTCAAATATCTGGAGTGTGACATACTGCTATACCCTTGGGAGGAGAACATGAATTACTGCCAATCAGTTGGCACCTGAATGCTCCACATCACACGACTATGTCCCTTCCTATTCTCCTTTTTAGAAATAGCTTGATAGGTTTACAATACACTTTTTAGAAATAAAAAAATAGTTTGGATCATCAACTGTATACAATACTAAAAACAATGTGCTTTTCCTCATACAGTGTTTAGTGATGAGTTCAAAACTCCCTCTTCCAAAGTTCTAGTGAACGGATCACTCTTTTTTCCACTGAAGCAGGTTCTAGTCACGGATATGTCAGGGAGGTCTCTCTCCATGAAACTTTCTATGTCTGTACCTGCCGTTCTTTTCCTTCGCCATGTTGATACAGGCATTGTGCTTGTTACTTTGCAAATGGTTCCAGTACTTTATGAGTTCATTGGGTTGGAACTGATGGGACGTGATCAGGTGGCTGTACTTGCAACTAGAGTAAGAAACACGCCAATGGTTGAATAGGAACTCATTGGGAGGGGGAGCTGGGTCAATGCGCAGCTTTGCAAGGCAGATCCCCACATATACATCCTCAAGGTGGAGCCTGCGTATGCTGAGTGAGGCCTGATAAATCAACTCTGCCATGTCCCCTGAGAACACGTACCCTGTGCCTGAGCAGAATATTGGGTAGCGCTCGCTTGGATAAAGCTCTGGTGGCATGTACCACTTGCTGTCCTTGTTTCGGTTTGGTGCATAGCCCCTCATTAAGTAACCAGTAAAGTACCTTTGTTTTGGTGGCATTTCAGGTTTTAGCAGCTTCTGAATAAGATACTCTGTATTGACAAACATGTCACTGTCTGTTTTCATTACATAAGAGACATGTGGGCAATAGGTGGCCACCCAGTTCATGCCCATCAGTGTTTTGATGGTCAAGTTGTAATATGTATCCTGGTAGTCCTGTTGGATGATATCATGGAAAACACGGCTCTCTTCTTCAATGCTACTTTGAATGAAGTTATCTGATCTCTTGGGTGTGCCAAGAAGAAAAAGTCGAACAAACCACAAGCCCATTGCTACACTTTCGTTTCCCCATGTCTGGCGGATTGCATTGCGTGCATCAGCTTGTCCAGATTCCACAGCAATGAGGAGGATAAGGAAGGGTGTGTTGTCCCTGCACTTAAAAGGCTCATTCAGGATGTAGCGATATGGCTGAGCACTAAGCTTCTCTCCTACATCCATCTCTTTCTGTAAACTGTTGTTAGTACTCATGGAGTCCCACAGCCCCATTACACCCATCCTGGTGCCTCCTCCAGCTTCACGTCCCAATCCTCCTGGCTCTCCTGCTGCCCCTTCTGCCTGTTGAGTACTGAGGTTGAGCAGAGGCTTTGGTGGCACATACCCTGTTTCCCTCCAGAGGCTCCTTAGGGAGCTGTTCTGATTGGTCTCTCCCTTAGCACTACGGAAACCCCTGATGGTATAGGTCAATGGGTTGTCACGAGGCCCACTGCGCCCGGACAACCAGTCCTGGTGGCTGAAAAATAAGAAAAGGGTAAAGAGTAGAGCCAAGGAGAGTAGACCAGCCACATGGGTTCGAAAGAGTGAACGCTTGATGTTCCAGGTCATCTTAATGGGACAGCAGTGCCGCCGTCTCCACTGCATGATGACGATCGGGGGTGCAAAAGGCTGCTGCGGCTCAAGATTAGACAGCAGCAGCAGTCATTTAATGCCACTTCAAACATGTGGTTGCAAACAAATCAGAGGGTTATCTGGGCCGGCACATGGGTTGAAGTAAGCCTCCAGGTGGAGTCAGGAAAACATCTGAGTCCCAAAATGTAGCTTTAAGCCAGGTTAAAAGGGCTCCTAGTGGAGAAAAAAGGTGGCTATTCTGTGGCCATGGAGGCGTCTAACTGGCTCTTCTATGGTACTGCAGACAAATAAAAGGTCATGCTCAATGTCTTGTCTTCTTGAGGTTAAAATAAGGGTCACGTCATCTGAGTCTTCTCCCTGTAATTTGAAAAAGAGAGAAATAAAATGAGAAAACACTGGAATTGCTCCAAAAAGCCCTTTACATCCACTGACACTGAGCCACATGGCAATTATTTTAGTAACAAAAATAACTTTATTAGATTTAACAAACTTGAGCTTAACCTTAAACAATTTAAGTAAAGTTTGTTGTGATACAATCTAAAGTTTTTGAAAAAGAGGACCCACAATGTATGTCTAGAGATGTTCTTTGATGAGATGGAGAAATGCAGTTTAATGATGGATACAATTAAAATAATGAACAAATGGCATTCTTGTTTCAAAAAGTGGAGAAAAGAACAATTATTTCACTGTCAAAGTCTTGCAGAGTAAAATATTCTTTACAATAAAAACAGTAAACTACTCTACAAAGATCGAACCGACAAACAGGAATTGGGCATGGTAAGACGATGGAGTCATTTAGCAACTGGTTTCTCAGCATAATGCCTGGAGCTGAATTATATATTGCTGGTTTGCTCAACGTGGTGCCAGCTAACACTGCTCTGAACCACATAGGCCAGCAAGTGTCATCAGCCCCCCACCGCACATCAACAGCAAGGGAGGAAATGTGTCTGTCAAAATGAGTTTTCAGCATCCAGCAGGCAGTATATGGCTAAACCCTGAGCCAGCCTCTGGCAGTGACAGACATTGCCCGTCATTCACCTTCAGTCTACCAGTGCTGCATAATGTCTTATTGGGATCACCCAGGCTGCTCAATCTTCTGACGCAAACGAGCATAAAGAAAGAATGCAATGACAATTACACTTGCACACACACACTCTTTTTTTCAGCCTCTACCTTTGCCACAATAAGTCAAGTCAAACTAAATGTTTGGTAATTGTTTATGGCTTTCTTGAAGCAACCTGGGCTCAAACCTGCACCCTCAGGATTACAAGACTATAGCAGTTACCACAACCCCACACACAAATATGTACTAATAGGGATGGAATGATTATGTACGGTGTCCACCAGAGATTTGTCCACTGAAATGAACACAAGGCAATCACCTTCAGTAGGCACCGATACACAATTAAACTAAAGTAAACAATCAGTTTGGACAAGCGCATTTCTTGTACTTTGCATGTAATTATATTTGCACATACTTGGCTTGCAATCAAAACGTAAAGAACATCCATCTGTCCTTGCAACAGTTTCACATGATCACGTGTCTTATTCACGCAGAGTGTGTGTGCACATCACATTATTTCTGGAGTAGACATACCTCATCATGGCTGTCAACACACACACAGATGCACACATAGAAAACAAAACATGCAAACAGAAACTAGACTCTAGTGAATACTAATGTAGCGGTCTTATTCGTCCACTGCCTTAGGTTGGCTCACTTTCTAATAATTTGCAGAACTTGAATAACAGAGCATCATTCTGTGCAAATGGTAAGCACCGGCTTAGTATGAGAAAGATTTCCCAAATTTCTAGTTTTAATTTTCTGTTATGTTTGCTCGTTCATCATGACAACTGACAAAGAACACGATAACCTTTTCAAGCAAGTGTGCTTACCCAGTGCAAGCAATTACAGGGGAATGAGAGGGGCCAGGGCAAGCTTTGTTTTAAAGGTTAACATACTTTACATCGAAGCACATCGAGCGCTTGAGAGATTTCGGCTGTCAACTAAATGAACATCTAGTTACACAAGCTCTGATGAAGAGCTCACACATGGAGGCACACAGACTTGAACGCAGAAGCACAAAAAGAAACACACAAGAAATAGATGCCCACACATGCTGGTATCCACCCACTCACACTCACATGCAGGCGACCATGAATGGCTTTTTTTTTTTTTTTTTTGCTCTCCACATAAATACCAATTCCACTGGAATGCCAGATATTCATTTTTACTTTTAGCCGTACTATTTAACATGTCATTGTCTCTCCTCATTAATACTTTTTTTTTTTTGCCTCATCAATGTCACTTCTATGCGAGCCAATTAGTTACACTATCACTAATTAAAGCCCTTGTGATTTTGCAGCAGTCAACGATCAGAATGGAGACTGGAGAAGTGGCATGGTGCTGACATATTAGGTATACATTGGCGCTGACTCTGTCTCTAGATCAGCTTCAAACCTGGAAAAAGAGGGAGGTTGCTTTATTTGTTTCTATGTCTACATTGTTTCTATGTCTACACAACCAATGCATTTGTTTTTTTCCAGTGTCTAATGCATGCTAAAGATGTATTGCCAGTGCCAATGAAGATATGACCATCATTCAGTAGAACATTGGATTTTGTGATACTAACACATTTTCCTGAGAAAAGATCCAGCTCTCATTTGTGAGCCATTTAGAGCAGCTTGCTTGCAGAAGACAGAGGTTAAATTCTGCTTTATTGAAACAGGGCTGACTGATTATATGGCTGGCCGAGGCTCCGGGTTTGTCTAATAATGCTGCCCAGAAGCAACAATCCTCACTGAACCACATAATACATAATTTATTTTAATGTTGAGATAGTGGTACAGCACCTGGCCCTATCAAGAGTAACAAAAGCTCAGCGTTCATAAGATTATAATGAAACATTACTCCACATCGAAAAAAAAAAAAACATGGCAGCTGTGGGGAAAGAGGAGCTACTTCTGTGATTGCAAGCTGTTTTTATAATCAATAAAATGCAAATTAAAAGAAAAATCACAGGTAAATGAGATTTTTCAATAACAGCAAAAACCACAATTTTCTTTTTAACTGTTCTGCAAATTTTCAAAATCTACACATTTTATTTAAAATTTGTTTTACTCTAATACATCACAGGAAATATATATTAGTTATACCTATCCATCCATCCATTTTTTTTTCTTTCGCTCCGGGGTCGGGTCGTGGGGGTAGCAGTCTAAGTAGGGAGGCCCAGACTTCCCTCCCTTCAGCCACTTGGGCCAGCTCCTCCAGGGGAATCCCAAGGCGTTCCCAGGCCAGCCGAGTAACTTAGTCCCTCCAGCGTGTCCTGGGTCTTCCACTGGGTCTCCTCCCGGTGAGACGTGCCCGGAACACCTGACCAGGGAGACGTCCAGGAGGCATCCTAACCAGATGCCCGAGCCACCTCAACTGGCTCCTCTCAACGTGGAGAAGCAGTGGCTCTAATCTGAGTCCCTCCCGGATGACCGAGCTTCTCACCCTATCTTTAAGGGAGAGCCCAGACACCCTGCGGAGAAAACTCATTTCGGCCGCCTGTATCTGTGATCTCGTTCTTTCAGTCACAACCCAAATCTCATGACCATAGATGCGGGTAGGAATGTAGATCGACCGGTAAATTTAGAGCTTCGCCTTTTGACTCAGCTCTCTCCACCACAACAGACCGCTCCACTGCCAATGTCGTACCTATCCGCCTATCAATCTCCCGCTCCATTTTTTTCCCTCATTCGTGAACAAGACCCCGAGATACTTAAACTCCTCTACTTGGGGCAGGACCCCCTCCCCAAACCGGAGAGGGCACTCTACCCTTTTCCGGCTCAAGACCATGGCCTCGGATTTGGAGGAACTGCGCCTCATCCCGGCCCTGTCACACTCTGCTGTGAACCACTCCAGTGAGAGCTGTAGATCACGACCTGATGAAGCCAATAAGATCACATTATCTGCAAAAAACAGAGAAGCTATCCTAAGGCCACCAAAACGGATCCCCTCAACACCTTGGCTGCACCTAGAAATTCTGTCCATAAAAGTTATGAACAGAATCGGTGACAAAGGGCAACCTTGGCTGAGTCCAACTCTCACTGGTAACGAGCCCGACTTACTGTCGGTGATGCGGACCAGGTTCTGACACCGGTCATACAGGGACCTGACTGCCCGTATCAAAGGGCCTGGTACCCCATACTCCCAGAGTACCCCCCACATTTATACAGATTTGTTTTAATATACAAATAGATAAAATATTACATAATTAGAGATTTAAAGGTTTGTTTCTGAACATTATTTTAACTTTTTTGCAACTTCTGTTCACCTTTTTTCAATTTATTTTGGAAAATTGAATACATTAAATTGTATTTGAGTTCCCAGTTTTTTAAGAGAAACTGCATTTGCTTATCGGTCATGGAAAAAAAACTCTTAGCTGCAGCAGATCTGCTTAAAAGTTTTTTTTTTAAATTTTTTTATGTATTTTTGTTTTTTCATTTTCAAATTTTTACTTTATTTTTAGTTTATTCTACTTTAGAATATTTAAACTTTCTCTCTGTCTATCGCTATCCATCTCTGTATCTGTGTATGTGTGTTTTATGTTTTGCTTATCAATTACATTTTCATCTAATGGTTTTTAACAATTTCGTGTATTTTACAACTTTTATGTAGCAACTTCAAACTTGTGTTTTAAACGTTCTATTTAATGAAACTTTGTACTTACAGCTATTTATTGCCCTCCACCAAAGGTAAAGCAGTCATAATGTTTTTCTTCATGTCTGTGTGTTCATTTGCTTGTAGTGTTAGATTTAATGGATTTTAATGAAACATTTTTCAGCTATTTGACATCAACCAACACATAAATGGCTACAACTCAGTCAATTTTAATGATATCGAGTTATTTTTTGTTGTATAGCCGAGAGTTAATTCCAGCACATCCACAGAGGACCGACACATTTTGCATATTCTCACAGCATCTCATAAAGTTGTGCATAACAACAAAGTTTTTTTTAACAAAAACAGCTCTCTTCTCAATATGAGATGTTGTTTTAAATTTGGGCATGAAGGGTGGCGGACAATATGTAGTCCTTCCAAAAAAGTTAGGCCTCTAGTTTGAAGCAGTTTTCCACTTGTGTTTTCATTTTATTTTATTCTGTTTGGCCAACCTTTGCAACAGTGTTGTCATTTTCATTTAAACTCCTTATACACCGTAAACGCTATCAGAGAGCTGTTTATTTTTATTTATTTAATTGATTAATTCATTAATTTTCTTACATCACTACATGATGTTAACTACTTTAGTTGCTTACTTTTTGATTAAATTCCAGGAATTAGTTAAACATTTATCTAGTTGAATTATTATTAT